TTTTGATTTTTAAAATTTTTGTAAATATTGCATTTTCCAATATTTCATTTATATATGTATGTTAGTTACTAAGTATTTCTGATTTTCTGCAGTTTTCATTGGTTGAACTATGCCCTGTACGTCAGATGCATATGAATGGATCAGTCTTCTGGAACTCTGCAGATCTTCATAGATATCGCATTCTGTATACATGTAGTGGTTTTTACTAATGCATGTCAAAACTTGTCTTAATTGTTATTGTTTGCATTTTGATACAGCTTGCAAAGCTGTAGCATTTAGTCTCCTGATGAAGACAAATGAATGACCAAACATGTCACGATGACTACACCAAGCAATACATATGTATACACATTTGTTACAAGTTCATGTGATTTATGAGATTCAAATGACCTTTTAACTATTTTAACCTTTTCGCTGCCAGAGACATTTTTGCATTTTTTTACACACGTTTAAAAAATCATTTTAAGCCAGAAGATTGCATAAACATATATTTTCTGGAAACAGACACCCAAGAGAATAAAATAGAGGTAGTTGCACTTTTTTATATCACACAATATTACCGCAAAGGTAAAAAAATACACTAAAGTTGATTTTAGGGCACACAAACGCAATACATTGTATATCAAATACTGGTGAAGTGCTTGCAATATGATATAACAAATCAAATATCATATATCCTCATATGATAACCCTTTATCATAAACAGATCCTTCCAGTATTCAGTATCATTTGTGAATGTGCAAAACATACATACTGTATATAGCTCTTAAAACATAAAAAAACAAAAATGTGTAGTCCAATGTAAAGGTCCCATACACCAACCAATTTTCATTCAATCCTCAATTACTATATCAAGTGTCATCAGAACAGCAATATGACTTAATTCAGCATGAATAAACACCACCGTGCCACTCACCACATCTCATGGGTATCTCCTCACCTTATATCAAGACCCCACTGCAAAAGGAGGGTCACCTGGCATCAGTGTGAAAGTCAAAAGCATACCAAATTACCTAAGCCTGCCAAGATATTGTATCGATGGAGTTTAAAAAATATGTTGGAGCTTGGGATTATTAAGGAGTCCTCAAGTGGTTGGTCAACTCCTATTCTCCAAAACAAATGTGATGAAAATTATAATGTCAATTTTCAAAGTTAAAATAAGCTTCCAAGCTGTGCTTTCAAAGCCCATGTGGATGAATTAATTGAAAGATTAGGTCTAGACTGATACTGTACATCACCACTTTTGATTTAACAAAGGATTACCGACTTACTCTTCAATTTGGCTAAGGAAAAATGGTGTTTGTCATGTAGGAGTGGTTATGGAAGAATGCTATTTGATTTACACAGGAACCCAGTCACCTTCCATGGACAGAGTCCTGGGAACCCATAAGTAATTCACAGGGACTTACCTGGATGACATTGCCATCTTTAGCTGGGACTGGACAGGTCATTTAAAATAGGTCCAAGTCACGGATACCCTATGGAAGGCATTATTCATGATAACTCCTAAGAAAAGCCTGATTGGACTGGAAGTATATTATGTGGGGTATGTGGTAGGTGTCATAAATCCCCAGCTAAACAAGATGGAAGACATCTAAAAATTGCCCCTATCTCAACCAAAAAAGAGGTGCACTCATTTTTAAATATTCTGGGATATTTTAGGAGCTTTATACACACCTTGCCTGCTTTGATGTCCCTTGCAAAGGGAAAAACCTTCACTGTCTGTTTTTGGAGTTCTATGGTAGAAGAAGCCAATTGAAGCAGGCTTTGTGCCAGGAACCAGTCCTTATAGCCAAGGACTTTCAGAAAAAAGTTTCTGATGCAAATAGGGGCTGGATAAAGATTTTTTTCCCATCTAGTTGGAGACAAAACACATTCTGTTTGTACTTGAACCAAAAGGTCACTTTGGGAAAAAAAAAAAAAGATTATTTTTTAGAAAGGGTGTGTCTCACAATAAAGTGGGCATTCGAGATACTCCATTGCTACCTGCTTGGCTGCCCAGGGTTAAAAGGGGTTAACTTGGAAGGCAGATACTTCTCTTTCAACCCTTCCTGTTAAGTAAAGGTGTGACAGTAGAGTGGGAGTAAAGGAGTCCAGGAGGTTGAAGGCCATTTAAGATTTACATGCTTTAGATCTATGTTCTGATTGGGTACAAAAGACAAAATAATAGGAGCTTAGGATCCTATTAAAACAAAGCAAACAAAACAGCACACTTACACTTGAATTAATCTTTAACAGCATGGGCAATCAGTAGAGTCTTGATGCACGTCACACAGGAGAGCTGTATAAAGCAATGGTTTGTAGCATTACCACCTTAGGGATTGCTGCTAAATTTGTCCCCCCTATAGTCCTGCACAGTCAGTCAGCATTTTCCACACAGCTTTCATCCACTGACAGAAATAAGGCCTTGAGCACTGGTTTCATTATTTTATTGCGGCAATTAAACTTGAATAGGTTATAGGGGTGTATAGGATGCCCAAGGGCATTGAAATCTGAGGACAACTTCCTGGACTATTCACAGCGTCTTCTCTCTGACACACAGTCTCTGTTATAGTGCTAGCCAGCAGTTCCAGTTGTATTACCCCAGACTCTAGATGGCCTCCCTGACATGAATTTGGACTCCTCTGGCTATTGCACCTAGGCTGCTATTCAGCTCTTATCTAACCATTAGGGTCCAGCTCCATCTAGTGTAACTAGGAGGGTGCTACACTCACCCCCCCCCCCCCCCCCCACACACACACACACACACTAAAAACAGCCATGTTCTCATTGGCCTGGAGGGCAAAAGATGCCCAGGGGAAGGGCATCCTATACGAAAAAAAATGGGAGTGGAAAAGAGTACAATAACTGGGAAGGGGGAAAGAATTATGTACACCAATACATAAATGTTCATTACAAAAATAAGAATGCATGCATATGTACATTTTTACATAAAAATACATATTTACATTCCCTTTATGACGCTAACTCTAGCAGCAGGACAATACATACAGTGCCTTGATCAAATGGGTAAACAACCAGTGTTAACATGGGAACATGGCCTAAAAAGAGGCCCTTCATCAGAACTTAGAGTCTTTGTTTTTTTTCATGCAGGGAAGACAGCCATCCGGAGACCTGCAAAACAGTGAAAGAACAAGACAGTAACAAACCAATTGCACAATATTACAGTTTTATCCCTGACTGTCTAAATAAACAATAAGGCACAATCAACAAAGGAAGCGGAGCCATATCTATTTGGGTTCTTTTTTTTCTTTGAGGCTGTCTTCCCTGCATGAGAAGAACAAAGACTCTAAGTTCTGATGAAAGGCTGGGTTCCTGTGTTTTAAGGAGGAGCAAAGCAATCCCTGTGTTTAAGGAGGAGCAAAGCAATCAATATGTAATGCCTTTGTCTTTCTGCAAAGAAACAAACCAGACTAGCTCATCTGGAAAAAAAAAATGCACACTCCACTCTGTTTCAATAGTACTTCCAAGGACTGGGTTGGAGGACTATGGAGCCACAGAATAACTCCAGCTTGGCTGTCCTTCCCTTACAACCACCACCTGATCTTTATGAATGGCCAAGCCCTTGCTCCACTCCCTCTTGATATCTTGAAAGCAGGCCCAGGTTCCTTCAAGACAAGGCCCCCTGGATGTCTGGGGACATGCATGTGGTCCCAGATGAAGTCCTCCTCCATTGTGTCTCTTCAACTAAGTCCATGATGTCCTGAGGAACATAGGGGTAGTCCAGGACCCATTCAACTTCCACCCTTCATTGTATCTCCCTATGCAATCAGGAGAAGCTGGGCAGATTCCTCTTGTCCCCTATCCTAGGCTGCACGCAGGACTGAGGTGACCTAATGACCCACTCCTGCACTTCAGTGTCTCTGACCTTGGTCCTGCACCAGGGTACAGTAGAGGACTTAGATGGTGGGGCGTGGGCCAAAATTCTAACCTGTTCTGACTGGCAAGATTGTCCAGCAGAATCTGGAGTGTATGGGGTCCTGGCGATCCTGTCTGTAAGTCCAGCTCAACTGTAATGCCCCCAATCCCACTCCTTCGAACTCCTCAGAGATCCACTCATCCTGCTCTATTTCCAGGGGCCCAAACCTTGCTAGGAGTCTGGGCAATTCCAAGTCTACCTCTCCGCCACCAACACTCTCTCTCCACCGCCTCACCTGAGGACTGATCATCACCGCAACTAGGCTCCTTCCCACATGGAGAGGTCAGTGTGGGTAAATGAGTCCAAAATGTTGGCCAGTTCCTGCTGTACAGTGACAATGGATTCCAACTTTCTGATATCTTTTACCAGGCTGGGAATGGCAGTGCACAACCCTTTTCTGCTGGGTGAGTCAGCAACAGTGGTGGTGTAACTACGAGGGTGCTACAGGTTGATGATCCTAATGCTGACCTGGGGGGACCAGTTCAGATTGACAGGCTATGTAGGCTGTGTATGCACCAAAAGTGGCATCTACTGCCATCGTGATTCCATGTGGCCACTCTAGATATAACAGCAAAATATAATGCATTTTGAGGCTGTTCCCTTTCTTCTTTGGTGCATACACAGCCTACACAGCCTGTCTATCTGAGTGGTTCCCCCCCTGAACTGGCATTGGGATCATCCACCACTGCTTCATGCAGCCCTTCTGTGTAATGTGCCTCAGCCCTCAACTAACTATCCACACTGTTCAAGATTCATTCAAGTGTAAGTGTGCTATTTTGTATGTAATAAATATTGCTTCATTTTAATGGGATCCCAAGCTCCTGCTTTTTTGTCTTTGTGCCAGCCATGATCAGTCCGGATTATTGAAGGAAGCTGCAGGAACCAAAAATTCATAATACACAGGTTTTTTTTCTCTCTCTCCTTCCGGATTAACTTTTGCTTTTCCTTACCACTAATGGGAGCTGTAAGCATATAATCTGTAAAATGATAATAAAAGTATTGGGACACCACTCCAAATCATTGGATTCAGGTGTTCCAATTACCTCCATGGCCACAGGTGTATAAAATCAAGCACCTAGGCATGCAGACTGCTTCTACAAACATTTGTGAAAGAATGAGTCACTCTCAGGAGCTCAGTGAACTCAAGTGTGTGTTACCGTGATAGGATGCCACCTGTTCAATAAGTCCATCCATGAAATTTCCTTGCTACTAAATAATCCACAGTCAACTGTTAGTGGTATTATAACAAAGTGGAAGCAACTGGGGACAGCAGCAACTCAGCCAAAAAGTGGTAGGCCATGTAAACTGCCAGAGCGGGGGGTCAGCATATGATGAATGAAGCGCAGTGTGCAGAAGTCGCCAATTGTCTACAGTTCAATAGATAAAGACCTCCAAACTTCATGTGGCCTTCAGATTAGCACAACAACAGTGTGTAGAGAGCTTCATGAAATTGGTCTCCATAGGTTTCCATAGGTCGAGCAGCTGCATCCCAGCCTTAGATCACCAAGTGCAATGCAAAGCGTCGGATGCAGTGGTGTAAAGCACACTGCCGCTGGACTTTAGAGCAGTGGAGACGTGTTCACTGAAGTGATGAATCATGCTTCTCTGTCTGAAATCCAATGGCCATGTCTGGGTTTTGCAGTTGCCAGAACGGTACTTGCCTGACTGCATTGTGCCAAGCGTAAGGTTGGTGGAGGAGGGATTATGGTGTGGGGTTGTTTTTCAGTGGTTGGGCTTTGCCCATTAGTTCCAGTAAAGAGAAATCTTAAAGCGTCAGCATACCAAGACATTTTGGATAACTTCATTTTCCCAACTTTGTGGGAACCAGTTTGGCCCCTTCCTGTTCAACATGACTATGCACAGTGCACGCAAAGCAAGTTTCTTAAAAAGACATGGATGAGCGAGAGTTTTTTTTTGGGGTTAAGGAACTTGACTGGCCTGCACAGAGTCCTTGACCTCACCTGCTAGAACCACCTTTGGGGATGAATGTAGAGCGGAGACTTCTCATCTGACATCAGTGCCAGACCTCACTAATGCCTTCTGGAAGATGGTCAATACATTCCCATAGAAACACTCCTAAAACCTTGTGGACAGCCTTCCCAGTAGAGTTTAAGCTGTTATAGCTGTAAAGGGTTAGTGTGCCAACTCAATATTGACACCCTATGGGACCTAAGACTGGGTTGCCATTAAAGTTCATGTGTGTGTAAAGGCAGGCATCCTAATATTTTTGGCAATATAGCATATGTCTGATGGGAAGGGTTCATACCAGAATACATATACTCTCTTAGTAGTTCAACGATTCTTTCTTGTTGTACACGTGCATGTATTGTTGTGTTTATAAAACCCACATATGTGCACACTCACCAGTCCAAGGAAAAATAAAGAATGGGTACCACTCAACAGTCTTAGGTCTACAGTTAGGGAGATGAGGCGAATTATTCAAAAATTCGGTTCGGCTGATCGCGAATTCGGGGAATAAATAAATTCGCTTCGAGCCGAATCTATTTCGGCTGCGAATTTACCTTTATAAAAAGGGTGTTTCTAGGCTCAGAGAGCCTTTTATATTAGTGAGAACAACTGTACTTTAATTTAAATCCCCTTTTGGAGCGGGGGGGGAAGAGAAAAAAATCCCTGTCAGTCAGTTTTGACATTCGAGGGTTTCCCCGCCCGATCTTAAAAACACCGCAAAATTCACTCTTTTTGGGCGGGTCCCCCGGTCCAAAACCAAGTTTTGGAGCCACAGTGTGGCGGGGGATTCCAGCAGAAATGGGGGGCCATACGACCCAATGAAAAAAATGGAACCCACCAGCAGTTTTGGGGACATTGGGGCCAAATTGTGAAAGGAAATTCAAGGGACCCCCTTTGCCCCCAAACTCCACAGCATATTTGCCACGGTGCGTCGGGGCCCCTCTGTCCCCTCCTCCTTACCAGATGTTCCTGCTCCTCCCCTTCCTGCCCTGGGGGGAAAAAACCACCCATTTCACTCAATAATTCCTGGCCCAATGTCCTCCTCTCCCTCCTCCTTTCTTCCTTTTGGTCCCCCCAAAAGGGTCATTTGGGGGTAAAGATCTGTGCGCCACGTCTCCCGAACCCCTGACCGGGCCTTTGGTTAACAGCATTTTTTCCAGGACGGAAACAGGGGAAAATGACGCTTTCACCCCCATATTTCCGGGCCGGGATAAACCCCAAAATAGCGGGGCCCCTAAAAGGGCCCTGAGCAACCCCGGCCCAGGTGTCACCCCATGAGCTGCCAAGGGGGCTGAAAATCTAATTTTAAACCCGGGGGAAACCTTTAAACCGCTTGTAACATCGGGAAAAACGGTGATGGCCTTTCGCTTTTTCGTAAAGGGGGTTTAAACATATGTGGGGGTTAAAATTCCCACCTTTTGAAAAACGTCGCAGATCCCGCTTGTTTTAAAATTCCGTTCTGGGCCCCGCAAATCAAGGGGGGGTGTGCTTTGCGGTGTAGGAATGGCTGAAAAAGCATGCAAAGTTTACGTGGGCATTTTAAGGATTCTTGCGTTGGGGTTGGGGGATTTTAAGGGAAACCCCTTGACAACCCGATTTAACACGTTAGGCCAAAGCATGGCGCATGGGACAACCTTCCTTGACGCAGACACCCCGGTTTTTTTCCGGGTTGTTTGGGTTTAACTGGTTTCCTTTTCAGTTTGCGCGGAGGGCGCCAAACGTGATTTCTCTTTCAATTTTCACTCAGAAGTTCCCCCCCCTGTGTGACTACGTTCGCCAAAGGGGATACCAGGTGCAGCACAGCGTGACACCGTTGCCCCCCTGGGAATTGATATGCCGGGGTTTTGGGTAATGGGGCCTTTGCACCCGGGGGGGGGTGAGGGGGCACGGCGGGGGATGAAGGTTTTGGGAGAGGCGGGGAAACTTTGTGGACAAAGGGCCTGAAACTTTGGAAACAAAAACGGCGTGACCCTTTTCCCAAATTGTGGTGCGGCTGTGCGGGACCAAATTCACCCCGTTTGGGGGGTAAATGAAAATGTACTGTCCCTGGACCGTAGTTACGCTTCACACGTCGGGGCTTTCCGTTTTACTTTGGCAGGGGCCGACAAGCTCAAAGACTGGCCCCCCCATCTCTTCTAAAGTGAATGCAGGGGGGTGGCACTGCCTTTTTGGGAGAAAAAGGGCTTGGCCCCCCTCTCCACCGCGGCTCGGGCAAAGCCATCATTTCTCGGAAAGGTGCTGAGTCCACCCCTTTGGGAAAAGGGGGGGATGCAGCACCAGCAACTTGGAAGGAGGACGTTTAGCTTCTGCCCCCCGTCGGGG